ACTACCTCTCCTGGTGCCTGACCTCGTGTTGTAAAACAAACATTCCTTTCCTTTGCTGGTTCGGTGTCTGTTTCCAGGATCCCCCCCCCAGAGATTTGCAACTTTTTGTTCTTCTTTATCCAAAGAGCAGATAACTTCATAGCTGAATATCATCAGGGAGTCCAAGGAACACTTTGGAAACTTTAAGTTTTAATGATTACACACATGAAAGATCTTAACAAAAATTTTTTCAAACACTCTACCACATTAAAGAGGACTGAAGATGTTGGCCGTGCAAAGGCGTCCCTGAAAGAGTCCAATATCTAAAAGCTGAGTGTAAGATACTGGCAAGCAAAGCATGTGTGGAATGCCAGAACAAAGTGGCAAGACGTGTTGTTGGATGACAGTACAGATTCAGAGGGATTAGTTGGTTTCACGTTTGACTGGATGGCAGGAACACTAAATCATGACTCCAATTGGAGCTGATGAATGTTTGAAAATTGGATCTGAACAGACAGAACTTCAGATTAGTCTAGCTTTTTAAAGATTTAGAAACTTACAGACTGGGGTAACTGTGTCACTGAATCAAAGATGAATTGATGTAACGCAAGGAATGGATGTCGATTGGGAACAGCTGAAAAAGTAATATCTTTCTTTTGGTTTCTGTCATCTGAATGGATCCTGGTCAGCTCATCAATCTCCTGACAAACTAGTTGATTGAGGGCAGGAAGTCCCACAACTAAGTGGCAGGCACCAACAACTGGGGATAAGGAGATCCACACTGACCAACAAACACTTGGTGGCTAACAAAAATAACCCTTTAATGAAGGCTAGACTGTAGGGGAAGTCAGCTTGGACAGAATTAGTGATCACAGGAAAAAAGAAAAAGAAACAGATAGTTATTGTCCCTTAATCTGGAGCATGCCTCTAGCAGATTCTAACTAGAACCATAATCTTTTTTTCCAGAAGAGTGCTGTCCTAGAAACAGTTTATTAACTGCATTGAAGACTCACATAAAAAGGTCACCACTCAAAGGAAAATTATGCAAATTTAACTCGTCCCGACCAGTAGGTTGTGCACTGCTGCTGGCCCACTCTTATTTGAACACATTATACCGTCTGCCAGCTGGTCGTCAGGTTCTAATTCTAACCATTGGTTCTGAGCCCCTTTTTTGTTTTAAGTTGGCGGCTCAAAGCTTGACCAATGTTCACACTTGGTTTGCTTCTTTCTATGTTTACTTGAATCTGAGAAATATAATGAGAAGAGGGAGCAATTGTCTTAGCTCCATCTGCCATGGCTGCCTCTTCTTGCATTGGTGCTCTTTACCCGTTGGATTTCTACAATGTACCACTGTCCTTGAATCTTCTCCTGTTAGCCTCCAGAGCCGGCCACCACCACTCCCCTGCAGGGGTGCTCTCTCTGTCTAGAGCAAGCGTCTTAAACGTTTTCCAGGCCAAGGACCCCCAAACTGATGGCGAGATGGAGCGGGGACCCCCTAATATATATATTATATAAAATTGTGTCATATCAAACTAGTC